TGCTGTCACTCAAAAACACAAAGTCCAATCTCTCCCAAAGGTCGCAGGCGTGATGAGACTCGACCTCGGAAATGTTTGTTATGCCCTTTGTCAATAATGGTTATGGCGCCACCTAGTGGGACGACTATATTCATAATTGAATGAGATGAGATGTTATCTGGTGGTTAAATGCATGAATTCCATCAATGTGACATCAGATCGGACGTGATGGTTGTAAGTGTTGAGCGCGGCTCGACGCGCCCGGGTGCGAGGGCCCTCATAACGCTGCTTGCAGCTTTAATTATTATTATTATTATTCAAGCAAAACAAGGGGCTTTTTGAGGGCCTAAACATGCTCAAAAACTCATGAAATTTTGCACACATGCCAGGTCTGGTGAAAAATTTTGTATTTTAATGGTTTTACATATGAGCACTGGGAAATGGCTCTAGAGCGCCACCTATGCCTTGTGAAATGCGGCCCTACGACCACATCGTTTGAGCTACATGTATGAAATCTGGCACACATATGTATCATGCCAAGACAAACAAAAAAGTCTGTGGGCCCATTGACGCAAACCCAACAGGAAGTCCGCAATATGGACGTGAAGGTGACCTTTTGGCTCTAATTTTGCCATTTCCATGCCTCAAACTTTTTCGAACTCCTCCTTGGGATTTGGTCGTATAACCTTCATCTTTGGTCAGTGTCAACTACACACCGGGGCCATGTTAAATTGCGGAGCTTTTGAGTTTTCGTGATACAGTGAGCACGTGGCGCCACGGCGAATTTCGATGACTCGCCATGAAAATCTTATTGCCTCTCATTCTGTCATACATTGTCTGATCTGGACCAAAGAGCACACATATGATAAGGCTCCAGCCCTGAAAAAATTTCAATGGCCATTTTTGACATCAAGGACAGCGCCACCTAGTGGGAACAGGAAATGTCATGTTTTACACTTTGGGGTACAGTATTGTGATGGGTGACATCTGCAGCCTCAAATTTCTACAGGAAAGCCTTAAGGAGTTGGTCTTGGGTTACAGTGAAAACTGAGTTTTCGCGAAAGGGTGTAACCCCAGCAGCATGGCGAAC